TGAGCACAGTTAAGGTCTCTATATAAACTTTTAAGATGTGGTGATCGGCAGCAGAAAATTACTCATCTTTCAGCTGCGTCAGAGAAACCTCCTAAGTTTCCTTGCTCAGTAAAACTGCCACCTAAACTCTGCCCCTTAGGTCTCCCCTTGTCCTCCAGGAAGGGAGCCAATTTCAGTTTCCATCTGGGAAGCTCCTGAAGTTGTGACCCAACAGCAAGGAAATGCATTTCTCACCCTGAGCTCTTTGTAATAATAGACACAGAAAACTCTCCAATGGTGAACATAGTACATGCTACATTTTGAAAATCATTAACAAAGAAAACGAATGGTGTCATTTTCCCAGGAAAAAATGTTGTACCAGAAGAAAAACTTGCCCTTTATTCACAATGCGACGATCGTGTATGTCACAATTGAAAAGAATATGAAGATCATCATAGAATCAGAGTTTTACTAAGTTTCCAGAATTCAAACTTATGAAAATAAATCTCAGTGTATTTTGAATCACTAGAAACAAACAGTTGAACAATAAATTTTTAAAACAGACTTTGTTAACATAGAGTTTTAAAACTAATTGCTATTACAACTAATTTTCTTTAAGCCCTAAAATATGTATAACATAGGATAGAAAATGACAATGAAAATATTTCAAAACGTTATTGAATAACACCAAAGTAGGATGGAACAAAGGGAAAGATGGCCCATGTCCTCAGAAAGGAGACCATGATGTCAGCTCTCCCAAATACGTCACGGGTTTTAAGAAAATTCCATTAATTCTACAACCAGGTTTGTTTTGGGGTTGTTTCTGTTTTGTTTGAACTTAATAAAAACTATTTCTAAAAACTGAAACGGAAGACAAACTTCTAAGAATATCTGCTATTTTCTATAGAACTAAGTGGTGAGATTTTTCCTAAGAAATGTCAAAGCTTCTTAAACTACAGTGATTAGGACAGGATGGTGTTACCAGAGGGACAAAGACACCAATGGAAAAACCAGACCACCTGAACCAGGCCCCCTGATGTTGGCAAGTGGATCTGCCCCGGAGCAGGCAGTGCCGGGCAGCGGGAGAGACAATGACACTGAACATGTGGGGCAGTGATGACTGGGTATCTACAGGGCAATAATGCATCTTTTCCTTATCAACCTCACGTACAATAACCAACTCACTGTAGATTTAACTGTGAGAGACGGAAGTAGGACACTGAGGAGAAGTTGCTGGAAAACACGTTTATGATTTGAGAACTGGAAGAGTTTTCTTATATGGGAAAAAATAGAGTAAGCTACAAAAGAAGAGACTCAGAAATTCAAGTCTACTAAATTAAGAACAGTCCATCAAAGTGTAGAACAGAGAGAGAGAAATAATAAACCACAATCTGAGAGAAAATGTGTGCAATATCTAGAAATGAAAAAGGATGACTGTCCAGACTACATAAGAAATCATAATAAATCCGTAAACACACAAATGAATTAGAGGTGAGACAATAACTGAAAACCATCTGAAGGAAAATGAAATTGTTAACGAACCAGGTTCATTTTGCCCATTACACAAAAAGCCAATCACCAAGATGAGTTTGCAGCAGAGAAAGGGTTTATCCACAAGGCAGCCAAGCGAGGAGAAGGGAGAACAAATCTCAAAGAGGCCTCCCCGAAAATGGGGATTACCGATATTTATGGGGTAGGAGGCAGGTGGTCTGAAGTGTGGGGATAAATGATTAAAGGTAAAGAAAAGTGAGGTAATGGATGATCCGCACAAGCATAGTGAAGCTTCACAGGTCTTCACACGACGCGTGTTCACAAAATGGCGGCCACATGATCTGAGGTGGAATCTGTGGCTCCCTGACTTCAGCAGTTCACATATCAGACACCCCTGCAGGCCCACGTGGTGGTTTGGTGTCTCGACCACGCTTAGCCAGACAGTGATCAACCCTTAGTTCCTGAGAAACAACTCAGGCATCCATCACTTTGGTGACCCAAGTGTCAGGGAAATGTTATCTGTGAGGAACCCAATGGGAGTCCAATAATATATTGCCTAAGCAGCATGACTGACAACGGGCGGGCAAACGAGAACCTATAATTAATAACTGCAAAAAAACTAGTTACTAGCTACTTAACCATCAATGGCTACCTGTCCACTGGTTTCAAAATTCCACACGAGAAATGCTCCACCCCAATGGGAATCAGTACAAACCAATATGGAATTCCAGGAGATCCCGTTTCACACACTCGAGATGGACAAAAGTTACTTAGCTCCAAGTGCTGGAAATGACGTGGAATAAACACACGTGTGTGTCAGTAGGACATTCGATTCGCACACTCCTCCAGCTGCATTTCCTAGTAAATTGAAACTTATCCAAATCTACAACTCTGCAATTTTTCTGCAATGTGTAAAAATTTATGACCCATTTGCACCTGGAGACACACACAAGAATGACTGCAGCAGCACTGCCAACAAAAGGAAAAAGTCAACTTCAGAAAACCCAGGCCCCACAAGGACCGGAAGGGAGGAGGCACCCGGGTGACCCAGATGTAAAGCTGCAGAGAGCAACACAGAGAACCAGGAGCGGGTCACCCTGGGGGCAGCAGCTGGGAGACGCCACCAACCAACCAAGAAGATACAAACCTTACACCTTCACACAGTGGGACAGCAGTCTGAATGCTCGAGCACCCTGGGGCCACCCAGCTGCAGGCCCGTCAGGAGACGGGAAGATGAGCCCAGCGTGAGCCCACTCAGACCAGCACCCGCTCCACAGCCCACACGGCCACCCGAAGGCACAAGGTGGAACCTGACCCTGAGCTGGGGGCCCGGCCCCCCTGCTGAGAGGGAGCCAGGGTGGCCCCTCCCAGGGAAGGAGTGAGAGGACCCTGAGACCCCTGGGGACTGAACTCAGCAGCTGCCCACACCCTGCTCCCCCTCCTCAGTGTGGAAACGCCCCCCTCCAGGCCTCAACTCTCCCCAAGGAGGAGACGCTCAGAGATCACGTTCTGACCCGTATGAACTCTCACTCCATAAATCCTTCCAGCAGCAGATGAACCCAACGAGCTTCCCCAAGTCTGACCTTCACAGAGTCACTCAGTTTGCACACACCACACTTCACTCCACCCACTCTATGGAGGATGCAAAACCGACCCTCAGGACACAGCCCCAGGGCAGCCCCACCCCGCCCCCAGCACCTCTGCAGGGGGGTCTCCCTGCCCCTGCTCTGTGGCTGCTCTCAGCACCAACAGCTCCTTCTGCGGTGGTTCTGGGGGTGGAGTCACCTGCAGGGGTGAAGCCCAGAAAGACCCCACTGCCCCTTCCTTCACCTCCCAGGCAGGATTAGCTTTAGGAGCAGCTTGGCCCCAGCCCAGGAGATGCACCTGCTCCAAGACCCCTGGATCATTTAAATGGGACAAAAACCCCATCCCACTGTGTGGATGAGAACCCACAGAATCCTGCTTCCCCCTGTGTCAAGCATAAAGCAGGGGAGGGGAATTTTTGGGCACTTTTATGGTTTAAATAACTACAAACTGCTTATCCCTTTGGAAAACAGACGCCGGTTCACTACTGTCCTCATGATAAAAAATTGTAAATCAAGGAATCAGATTGAACACGTCTCAGTTTCACAGGTCACATTTCACAGAATTTGCACTAATTTCTGACGAACAGCTATTAACAGGACAGGATGACACTGTCACAAACTCTGCACCCTGCATGGAACAGTCACTGTGATTTTTATGAACCTCCTTAACCCATGATGCCCCCCACCTGCATGAAGGAGCGGGACCCCGTGCACTTCTCCCGCAATTCTCCTGGGAGAGAGGACGTTCTCTGTACTGAGATACTCTCCGCAGCCGCACCTCTGGAATGCCCCGGAATAACACGAGTCAGCAGAACAGGGCAGAGACCTGAGACACTGACACCCCCACTACGGGGAAGAGACGAGGCGAAAAGAATCCAGTGACTTCACACCTGCTGAACCTGAAGCTGGACTAAGAGAAAGCTATTCGTGCAGGGAGGGACACAGAGGGGGCAGCTCACAGGTGTCAGGTGACAATGCGGAATCCTCCC